CTCAAGAAATGCCCACCTTGCATCGTTAGTTTGTAATGAGCTTTAATGAGACGAGACGTAGTGAGGCTGAGCGAGACGTGATGAGACTTGCCGCTGTCTGCAAAAGCGGGAGAGAACTGAAGTGTCGTGTCCTTCCTCCACACAGATTGTTCAAGTCCAACGTCCACCTCAGCAGCAGCAGCAGCAGCAGCTCCAGCGGCCTCAACAGCAAACCAGCGACCCCAACAGCAGTTCCAGAGGCCGCAGCCCCAGCGGCCTCAGCCGCACCCCAGCGGCCTCAGCCGCAGCCCCAGCGGCCCCAGCCGCAACCCAGCGGCCCCAGCCGCAGCCCAGCGGCCCCAGCCGCAGCCCCAACGGCCCCAGCCGCAACCCCAGCGGCCCCAGCCGCAGCCCCAGCGGCCCCCGCAACCCCAGCGGCCCAGCCGCAGCCCCAGAGGCCCCGGCCACAGCCGCAGCCTCAGCCCAAGCCTCAGCCCCAGCGGCCTCCGGTGCCAGTGAGCGCGCAGAATACGGCCAAGCCATCGGTGCACGCCGGCGTGCTGCCGCTGCAGAACGAGATCGCGTCCAACTCGCTGCCTCTGTTCCCGCCGCTGGGGCCCGGCCGGCGGTGAAACGACGCTCGCTCAGCGCGGAACACCGCAGCATGTCGGGATAAAGCGGAACACGCCACACGCAGGGAACAACTGGAACACGCCACACGCAGGGACCAACCAGAACACGCCACACGCAGGGACCAACTGGAACACGCCACACGCAGGGACAAACCGGAACACGCCACACGCAGGGCGAACCGGAACACACCACACGTAGGAACCAGCCGGAACACGCCAGACGCAGGGACCAACCGGAACACCCACACGCAGGGACAAACCGGAACACAACGAGATTTACTGAGACGCGGCGGGACCCGGAGGAACTTGATGTGACACAGTAAGACGCGTCTGGGTGTAGGGAAAGTAAGTAGACCTATGACAGGTTTTTAATCAAACGTTTAGGATCATAGGGCGTCACGTCTGAACAGGAAGAGCTGGAAATTGACCGAGCTGAAAGAAAGACCTATGGCTTAGCATTTGTCGGCGCCGCGCTTGAAAAACCGACCAATGAGCCGCAAGGCCGCCGGATTTCAGGCTTCCCGCCTCTTGTTGCTGGAATGGTGCGTTTTAGTCGCGTGTGCGCATAGGAACGATTGAGTTCTAGAACTCTTAACTCAGAACTGACCGAGCTGCCCGCAACAGCTCGTGTGGAAACGCCCTGAACGACAGCGCCGAACAGATGAACAGGATGAACAGGCCACTGCTCTGCTGTGTATGCCTGCGTGGCGGGTCAGCCAGGTCCTGCCTACGACGGCGCCATCTGTTGTGGACTTAAAAAGCTTGACCGCGAGCCGGTATGCCTGTGTGGAATGTGAGCGGGGGGCGGGGTTCGGAAAACCTCGCCGTACTCTGTCTCTGTCTGCCGGATAACGAGCCGGGGCGAATGGATGGTCCGCCGGCCCACTTGACTTTGGTGCCGGTGTCTGTCCTTTAAACGCGTGATTGGGGAACGGCTCGACGCCGGCGAACGGTCTCATGTATCCACCACTGGGTTCTGCGCGCGCTGTCGATGGACGACCGCGCTAATGTGTCACAATGCTCGCGCCGCCTCCGTCGTCGCCGCAGCCTCAACTGGCGCTCAACGGCTCGCGACCTGGGTGCCGCTGGCCCTCTGGTGAGTATTGTCATTACTCAACCCGAAGCGAGTTCGCGTGCGCTAATTATCGTCGGATATGAACGCCGGCTGGAACGTATATGTCGAAGCTGTCCCACGTGCAGTACGTGTCGTGGACAGTCAGGATCAGGACCGGCTCAAGGCTTCGCTGCTCACCACTTTTGCGGAAAGTGGCTGACGCATGACAGGGCGCGCGTGGGCTGGTTAGTGTCGTGATATTTGTCTTGCCCCTGGAACCCCAGCAGTACTCACCTATGCCGTGATTTCCGACCGAACGCTCCGTTGTGAATATAATAAACGTGCGAAGACAGTGTGTGCGCGGCAAACGGCCGGTTTCTCCTCTGAAGGCCAGGGACGCGTCCTACAGGTCCGCTTAGTGGATAACGGTTGATGAAGAATGAAGATGCCGACCAAGGGCAAAAGTTATATATATATATATATATATTTATATATATATATATATATATATATATATATATATATATATATATACACATTACAATGTAATAGTCACAACATAATAAAATCAAGCGATACAATCATGCATAACAAAAATAAGCTATTCCACAAGAGAAAATCATTCGGTATATCGAAATATATGAGCGGTCTCCGATGCATAGCAAGATATATAGGAATCAACGAACACCAATGCAGCTATGTGTTAATCAATCCCATGACGCTGTCGTCGATCTGTAAGTAGACACTGAGGCCTTGTACAGCATAGTTTATTGCCGAGAAGACATGACAGGGAGCGCTGGTGCGGCGCCGGTGTCATGCGGTTGTCAGACACCAGCGGCAGCCCCTCCGACACCGCGGCCGACAGCGCCACACCAAACGTCCGGCGGAGCAGCAGCCGGCGGGCGGCGACCGACACCGACGGGCCGGGAGAGCGGTCGAGCCGGCCGTGACAGCCTGTCAGCGACCACAGCACGCCGAGTCGCGCGCCGCCCGCAGGGGCGCACGAGATAACACCGGTGACGGGGGGGGGGCGGGGGAGGCCGGTCGGCGGGGAGGCCGGCCGGCGGGGAGGCCGTCCGGCGAGGCGGCCGGTGGAGCGGTGCCGACGTCCGAGACGCGCGGGAGGCAGCTGCCGTCGGAGGACCCGGTGGCCGGCCCACGGCTGGCGGCGCCCCTGCGGCGCTCAGCTGGGGCGCCGACAGCGCGGACGCCAGATCCAGCACACACGCACGACCGCCGCCGGCAGCACAGACATCAAATGACGTACCCAGTGCGCGTGCAGTACAAAGCCCGCCTGTCCGGTGGCTGACATCCGGGCTGACGCCCACAGTAACACCGGGGACCACGTGAGCGCGGAGACCGCTCGTCACAACGACACGGAAGGCCCTGTGACCTCAGAAGGCCCTGTGACCTCAGAAGACCTCAAGCGGTGACCGGTGCCAGACACCTGCGCCGCTACGACCTAGGCAGCTTGCAGTACATCGCCCTCAATCTCCGCACAACTGGCGACTGGCAGCTGACATCTGGCAAGTCAACTGGCAACTGGCATTTGGCAGCTGACATCTGGCAAGTCAACTGGCACCTGGCATTTGGCAACTGGCATCTGGCAAGTCAATTTGTATCATAAGAAGACATTCTAGGCAATTTGAGCCAGTGACCCCGCACAAGCCGCCACCGCTGCTGCTGGCCACGGCCGAAGCACGTCAGTGGAGTGATCCAGCGAAGTGATCCAGTGGAGTGATCCCGTCACTTATCGTCGACCGCGCGCTGGCCCGTCGGCCACCCCAAGTCGGCATAGTCCGCCGCTGACGCGGTGACGCCAGGGACGCCGGATTACGGCGGCAGCCGCCCAGACAGGCGAGACCTGAGCTAACAGAGCCCCTGCCCAGCCGGGCCCCAGCGCGCCGCCAGGGCGTGCAGGCTGCCCAGACAGGCGAGAACTGAGGCTAACCAGAGCCCTGCCCAAGCCGGCCCCAGCGCGCCGCAGAGCGTGAGCTGCCCATACAGGCGATGACCTGAAGCTAACAGAGCCCTGCCCAGCCGGCCCCAGCGCGCCGCAGGGCGTGCAGCTGCCCAGACAGGCGAGACCTGAGCTAACAGAGCCCTGCCCAGCCGGCCCCAGCGCGCCGCAGAGCGTGCAGCTGCACAGACAGGCGAGACCTGAGCTAACGGAGCCCTGCCCAGCCGGCCCCAGCGCGCCGCAGAGCGTGCAGCTGCACAGACAGGCGAGACCTGAGCTAACGGAGCCCTGCCCAGCCGGCCCCAGCGCGCCGCAGGGCGTCCAGCTGCCCAGACAGGCGAGACCTGAGCTAACGGAGCCCTGCCCAGCCGGCCCCAGCGCGCCGCAGAGCGTGCAGCTGCCCAGACAGGCGAGACATGAGCTAACGGAGCCCTGCCCAGCCGGCCCCAGCGCGCCGCAGAGCGTACAGCGGCGGCCAGTGGGAGTTTAACAAGAGCTACAGCGTACAGCTGTCTAAAATCCATAATTGGCACATGAGTCAGAAACAGGTCATTTTAGCTAACGTAGTAATTCCATAGCTACCCAATTTCGGAGGGGGAGGGGCGTTGACAAATCGACGTCGGTACAATAAACGCCGAGCGACGTCGGTGAGCGGCCGAACGGACCAGACGAACAAGTGGGACGAGAGCTCGCGACAGCATAGCCCGACTATGGTCCGGCGCGAGGGAACGATCAGAGCCTCCACAGTCCGAGGCAGCTCTGACCCGACGGACACCCCTCCCTCAGCCGTCAGTGGGTGGTCAGAGCCCCCACAGTCCGAGGCAGCTCTGACCTGACGGACGCCCCTCCCTCAGCCGTCAGTGGGTGGTCAGAGCCCCCACAGTCCGAGGCAGCTCTGACCTGACGGACGCCCCTCCCTCAGCCGTCAGTGGGTGATCAGAGCCTCCACAGTCCGAGGCAGCTCTGACCTGACGGACGCCCCTCCCTCAGCCGTCAGTGGGTGATCAGAGCCCCCACAGTCCGAGGCAGCTCTGACCTGACGGACACCCCTCCCTCAGCCGTCAGTGGGTGATCAGAGCCCCCACAGTCCGAGGCAGCTCTGACCCGACGGACGCCCCTCCCTCAGCCGTCAGTGGGTGATCAGAGCCCCCCACAGTCCGAGACAGCTCTGGCCTGACGGACGCCCCCCCCCCCCCTCGGCCGTCAGTAACGGGACGCCACGCCGCGCCGGCCAACAGCAGTCCGCCAGCACAGAGCGTGTGCCCCACCCACGGCCTTGGACAGCGAGGGGTCAACGGCCAGAGGTCAACATGGCATGCGACGACCGAGTGTGGCGGCGCGCAGTGCACCAGTCCAGGGGCTTCACCCAGAAAACCACGGCGGAGCATCGGTTTAATATCAAGAGATACTGGCTATTTGTTCCACGGTCACTAAACAAGTTTAGGGTCCCCCGCGCGGACCAGCTCGGGGCGGAGCGCGTCCCGGACAGTGACGTGGGGCAGGAATCGAGCGGTGACACTCACAATCAGGGAAGCCCTGCCGTCTGCGGAGCTGCGACACGGCACGCGAACACACACACGCGTATATAGATCAAACACCCCGCGAATATCAGCTGATCGCCGTCGCGGAGCTGAGCACGTCAAAAGGTCAGCATCGAGGAGGCGATGGGCGCCACCACTCATCGAAACACCGTACACATTCCGAGCCGCGCACGAGTACAAAACCCCAGAATAAAACACCGAGCGGCGACGCCCCCGACGTCTCCGACCCCCTGACGCCTGTCATCCGACTCGACTCCAGCGCAGCGCGCCGTCGGAGCCCGCCGTGGCGCCGGTCTGGAGCGGCCTCTACCGCAGCCGGCCTCGGGTGACGCTGACGGCCAGGCACGTCAGCAGCAGCGCCCACAGCAGCCTGGTGGCCTCCCACCGGTCGAAGAACGCCCGCAGCGCGTCCAGCGGGCCGACCAGCGGCGAGTCTTCGGGCGCCTCCGCCGGGCCGCCTGCCGGCAGGACGAGAACGTCGGTATGGAGCAAGACGAGAACGCCGACATGGAGTAGGACGAGAACGTCGACATGGAGTAGGGCGAGAACGCCGGCAGGGAGCAGGACGAAAACGCCGACATAGAGTAGGGCCAGGATGCCGGGATGGAGCTAAACAAGAACGCCGACACGGAGTACGACGAGAACGCCGGCATGGAGCAGGACGAGAACGCCGGCATGGAGCAGGACGAGAACGCCGGCATGGAGCGGGACGAGAACGTCGGCATGGAGCACGACGAGAACGTCGGCATGGAGCAGGACGAGAACGTCGGCATGGAGCAGGACGAGAACGTCGGCATGGAGCAGGACGAGAACGTCGGCATGGAGCACGACGAGAACGTCGGCATGGAGCAGGACGAGAACGTCGGCATGGAGCACGACGAGAACGTCGGCATGGAGCACGACGAGAACGTCGGCATGGAGCACGACGAGAACGTCGGCATGGAGCAGGACGAGAACGTCGGCATGGAGCACGACGAGAACGTCGGCATGGAGCAGGACGAGAACGTCGGCATGGAGTACGACGAGAACGTCGGCATGGAGCAGGACGAGAACGTCGGCATGGAGCATGGCCCGCGCGTGACAACACACCTGCGAGGCGCCGCTGAAAGCACAACACCCAATGATGATGATGAGCTGGATCTGATGATGAGTCTGATGATGAGCTGGATCGGTGACCGGATGGGATGGAACCAGGACACTGGTAAACACACTTGACCAACTCTGGTAACAGGGTCGATGACGCATCAGGCTCCCTTCTTGGCACTCACCATCTTCTTCCATAGCATTCCCTCTCTGTTATTGTCGCTGTCCTGTCTGTTACTGTTATTGTCTGTTCGCTTACAGTAGTTTCTCGATTCTGCTGCTCGCTTCGCCCCGCATTCCCTGCACAGTACCCTGTCTTAAACCTTTGTTGCCCAGATGTATGTGCTAGCATGCGGTTGTGTCGCCCTGGACAGCCGGGGCCGGGGACGACACCGCCCCACTCGGGCGCGGCAGGGCCGGCGCCGCTTCCTTACCGATGATCTTCATCTCGCGAAGGTAGTCCAGCAGTGGCTTATGTTCGGCAGAGAAGATGGGCAGGTACTCCTCGCTCTTGGCGTCCCGTGTCCACCAGTCGCCCGCACTGACAGGTCAGATCAGGTCGTCAGGTCAGCACACGACAGGCCACGGGTGAGTGAAACAGGGCTTTCGACAGGTCAGCCAGGGACGTTCAGGTCGATTTGCAGCACACGCTGAAAATTGACCTGATTTTCTCCGTTAACTACCCGCTGGCCGTGGTCGGACTGGCGTCAAAGGAGACCACACTGATGACCCGAGCTGGGGCTTCCACCGCTCCACACTGATGACCCGAGCTGGGGCTCCCACTGCCCTACATGATGACCCGAGCCGGGCTTCCACCGCTCCACACTGATGACCCCAGCTGGGGCTCCCACCGCTCCACACTGATGACCCGAGCTGGGGCTCCCACCGCTCCACACTGATGACCCGAGCCGGAGCTCCCACCGTCCTCTCCCCCCCCCCCCCCCCCTGTTGAGGTGGGAGGGCGGTGGGACCCCCTCCCACCCACGGCGTTACCTGGTCGTCCCGTGCCGGCACCCCCACCCCCGGCTGGCGCGGAGCTGTCTCCAGCGCTGGCGGCGGCGGTACGACACGGCCCCGGCTCCGGCCGGCTGGCCCCCAGCGCCGTATCCCCGCCGGAGGGCCTTACCTGCCGCTGTCGGTGGCGGCTGTGTAGTGGTACTTGTAGCGCCGGGCGCGGATGAACTTCGGCGGCTTCTCGGCGAACGGGTAACGGCTGGTGTCCAGGAGACTGGGAAACACGACGATCTCGGGTCAGGCGGAGGTCACTCACAGGTCACACCCAGAGTGACCTGTGAGTGTCACCACATTCCCGTGTCGCCCCCGGGGCTGCTTCCAGGTCATTCACAGGTCACAGTCACAGCTCACTCTGTGGATGTCCACAGCCCATTTCAGCTCTCTCCCCGCAGAACTGTGGACGTGACCTCTGACATCCCTGATCACCACGTCACCTGATCACCACGTCCTGCACACCACGTCACCTCGTGCGGAGAGGTCACCACGGCTAACGCCCAGGTCATTCAAAAGCCGCCCGCCGACAGCCTACCGGACATTTAGAGGTCATTCGTTCGCCAACGTGGAGCGGCCGCTCAGATTCGCAGACCAAACCATCACTGAACCGCTGCCGCCAGCGGACTCCGCCAATCCGCGGGGGCCGACTGGCACGTCTCCGGCAGCGCCACGGACGTCAGCGGGTCCGCGGCGCCCACCTCTGTGGGAGAGGGGAGGGGAGGTGAGGGGAGGGGAGGGGAGGGGAGGGGAGGGGAGGGGAGGGGAGGGGAGGAGGGGAGGGGAGGGGAGGGGAGGGGAGGGGAGGGGAGGGGAGGGGTCAGAAGGTCCGCGGCGCCGACCTCTGTGGGAGAGGGTACGGGAAGGGGAGGGGAGGGGAGGGGAGGGGGAGGAGAGGGGTCAGAAGGTCCGTGGCACCGACCTCTGTGGGAGGGGATAGGGAGAGAGACGGGAGGGGGAAGGGGGAAGGGGAGGGGAGGGGAGGGGGAAGGGGAGGGGGAAGGGGAAGGGAGGGGAAAGGGGAAGGGGAAGGGGAGGGGGAAGGGGAAGGGGGAAGGAGGGGAGGGGGGAGGGACGTACCGGACCCACCTCCGGCGCGCCGGTCAGCAGGCGGTAGGCCAGTGACGTGATCCAGGGGTTGGCGTGGTAGTCACCGAGGGCCGCGATCCACATCTGCCAGTCGAGGCGCGGCTGGTGCGGCACTGTCCGACACAGGGGCCAGGGGCGTCAGATACCGGCACAGGGGCCAGAGGTGTTATATATTGGCACAGGGTCTGACACAGGGGCCAGGGGTGTCAGATACCGACACAGGGGCCAGGGGCGTCAGATACCACCGGCACAGGGGCCAGAGGTGTCAGATACTGGCACAAGGCCGACACAGGGGCCAGAGGCATCAGATATTGGCATAGGGTTCAACACAGGGTTCGACACAGGGACCAGAGAATTCCGACACGGAGACCGGAGGCGTCTGACACCGATACAGGGACCAGGGGCGTCAGACGCCGACACAGGGTCCGACGCAAGGACCAGAGGCGTTAGACCCGGCACAGGGGTCAACGGCCAACGACCACAGGCCAATGCCACACAAAGGCCAACAACGAAAGCCAAGAGCGCCGGCCGTCGTCAAACACAAAACGTGAGTTCCAAAGTGGGAATCACAAAGCCCATGGCCCAAGTCACGTGTTGCTTTCGTGAACCTCGGCGGAGTTAGGTCGTTGTTTGTCATATGGCCGCTCAGCGATATCCTTCACCTGTGCATAAGCATGGAGGTCTTCCGCCGCCTGTGGAGATACAAAGCGTCCGATCTGAGATACTCACGGACGAGCGACGGCTGGGTGGCGACATCTCCTGGCTTGTAGCGAAACTCAATTTCCTGCCACGGACCCTCCAGGGCGTGGGCTCCTTCCATGACTATCTCCGGTCGGCCTGGACAGGTCAAAGGTCGGCAAAGGTCAGCGCAGTCACCCAGGTCATCAAAGACGACCTGACACCCCGTCCCCTGCACACAAACAAATACAAGCGCCCAAACGGACAGTCACTGCCCATAGCTGCTCTTGGTGATAATTTTGACTCGCGAGCGCGCCACCATCAGGATTTTACAACGCCCGTTCACGCTCGCTGACAAAAGTGCGGCACGAAACCGGGCCAGAAAGGGTCCACCTCTCGCCATATCAGCTCAGGCTGGTCTCTCCCACGCCCGGGTCACGCTCTCCCCGCTGCTTCTAAGCGCCGGCCGCTATCGGACGGCCCAGCTGCCCGCCGGACAACGCCCCGCCTAGCCGTCTACCGGACAGCGACTAGGGGGCGGGGACGCCAAGGCGCACTATGCAAATCCGAACTTCCTTCGACTGCGCCTGTGTCGACAGCAAGCCCGCTGAATTTGGATGCACAACATTTCTGTAGGATTTCTCAGCGAGGCTGGGAGAGACCATGCTGCGTTTAAATTTCAGCACACAGGAAATTAATACAGGCATCCCGTTGAAGCCGTTATCCTGACATCTCGAATCCCGAACCCATAGCGTCCCGTTGAACGAGGCGATACAGCAGGCCTGGTGAGAGGTGCGGGGATAGCTTGCGCCGGCGCCATTTCCAGCCCCCCCCCCCCCCCCCCCCACCTGCACCGCTAGATCCCCACGTGACCCACCGCACGTCGTGACCCCCTCCCACCCCCGCGCGACCGAAAGATCTCACCGACCTCCAACGCCGGTCATCTGCTTGAACAGGCCATACGAGCCGAACACGTGGAACGGCTGCACGTGGTCGGCGAAGCCCTGTCGCAGCGGCGCCGGCAGCGACCGGTGAGAGGCCGTGTCCAGCATGGTGAACGGCACCTGCGCCGACGCAGAGAAGCCGCTCCAGTCACGGCTCGCACAGCGGCCCGGTGACGTCACCACAAGGGTCAGGTGACGTCATCACACAGCGGCCGGGTGACGTTACCACACAGCGGCCGGGTGACCTCATCACACAGCGGCCGGGTGACCTCATCACGCAGCCGTCCGGTGACGTCGCCACACATCGGCTCAGTGACGCCACCATATAGCGGCCCGCGGACGCCATCACACAGCGGCCAGGTGACGTCACTACACAGCGGCTCAGTGACATCACCACAGCTTCCGTGAGCGTCCGAAGACAGCCAGCACGTCACGGCCGAACACGGTGAGGGCGGAACACACGGCGGCGCGTTGCCACTTGAATGGACGGCGAGTCCCGAGTGTGCCGGGGGCGGACAGCCAGCCCTGACTTGTGACCATCGTCTTTGTTGTCGTCGTTGGGACTTAACGGCGCACTCAGCTGCTGAGGCTATATGGCGTCGCCTGCCTCTCACCCCGGCAGGAAGGGCGGGCGCCGCGGGGAATCGAACCCCGCACCTCAGGTTTCCCAGACGCGTGGCGTTTAACGCAGACGCGTCAAGCACTACGCCACCGGCGCCCTGGCGTGTACGTGCCGCCGTCACGTACCAGTGTGCAGCAGAAGATGGCGGCGCCCACCACCACGGTGGTGAGGGTACGCAGCACGGTGTGGAGCGTGCGGCAACAGCCACCAGAGTCCAGCGCCGCTGGAACACGCCGACCCCGGTCAGGTCAGGTCAGGTCAGGTCAGGTCAGGTCACGGACGATACTTCTGCTGATGCCTGCCGTTTGAGCTGACAGTGCATGTGCTGCGTATTGTGACGAGAACAGGTCCGTCCGCCGCTGCACCAGCTGGTGCACCAGCTGGTGCAGCAGCTGGTGCGGTGGAAGAGCCTGCCACTACACAACAGCAGCGGCGGAAGACGGACGGCGGGCAGCGCTGCTGCCGCTCCCCACACTCACCATCAGGCACGGCCGGACGGGGCCCAGGGTGAGCCGCGCTCAGGCCCGGCCAGGTCACGCCAGGCCAGGCCAGGACAGGTCAGGTCAGGACAGGACACTGTCCGACACAGGAAGTTGGACGGACGAGACCGGACAATCCTGCGGGTTCCTAAAACGGGGACCAGTCCGCGTCATGACCCGCCCGATGGGCGCCTCACGCCTGCTCAGTGACGACGACAGCCTGAGTCCTGCGCCAGCTCACTGGACAGCCTACATGCACAAGCGACAGCACAACATAGGTTGGGGCATCAGGCGGCCCACGTGCACTTTTGAACAAAACAAAATAAAAAACAAAAAACAAGACAAAACAAACAAAAAACGACGGACGCGCGTCGTTACAGATACGACGATCTCGTGAGGTACGGAGGGCCCGCATAGAGGTCTCACAGGCTGACCCACGGGCGCCATGCGACACTGCCGCGACCGCAGCCGAAGCAAGGCCGACCCCTGCCGGCCGTCACACCCGACTACAGGTCACCCGCGACCCTGACCGGCGGCGCGACACTGACCTGAGGTCAGCGCCTCGGCGGCCGTCAGCAGGTAGGACGCGGCGCCCAGCAGCGCGCCGGCGGGCACCGCCGCGTGCACGAACTGGGCGAACTCCTCCTTCGTGAACGCTGCGGGGCAGCGACGGACGGCCGTCGGCGAGGTGACCAGACCGGCCGGCGGCCCCGGCCCGGGGGGCGGACGGCGCGGCAGGCCCGCCGACCCGCAGGCGCGGAACACGCGGCGCTCGTGGTGATGATCACGGTGATTGGAGCTCAGGGGCGCGCCCATAACGGGGTCAGCCGACCGCCGGGGCGTGTGTACACCGGAAAATTGTAACCCCAACACGAGAGAGGAAAGCTGGCCGGCGTGAATGATATTCGACGCGTTGCCTAGCGTTTCGTTCAAGCTTAGGGTTCCCGCAAGTCGTCCAAAATTGCGCATGCGCTCTCCGGCAGAGTGGGGAAACAAGTAATGTGAGGCGCACGGTAGGTGGCGGGTAGCAGTGTGTACACACAAGCCGGTCGCCAGCGCCACGCAGAAACCCATGAGTCACATCTGCACAACTCTCAGCTCCGAGGAGCTGCGCACTGTTCGTCACGCGAACACATTCGTCCACGGTCCGCAAAACCCGCCCAGGAAAGCGCTGCAAGCGCTGCGAGTGCCGCCCTCGCCCTGCTGACGATCAGCGCGCTACAGGCGCGGCCGTCGCGCCGGCGGGCGCGCGCGGCGCCGGTGCGCGCGCGCGCCGGCTGGGTGACGGCGACAAGCCGGGCGGCGAGCACTGACCCGGAGACAGGTGCGTACCTATATCAGCGGTGAGCGCGCCGTCCAGCAGCCGCAGCTGGAACAGGCCGGTGACGGCCAGCAGCAGGCCGACCAGCGCCGCCCAGCTGGCCAGCGACGGGAGCCAGCCGCCGGCCGCCGCGCCTCCTGCCGCCGACGCCGGCTCGGGTCACCGTCGCGGCCGCGTCACGGAGGCGTCACGGACGCGTCACGGGCCGCGGCCGCCACACGTCCGCGGGGCCGCCGCTAGGCCGGCGTGTGGCCCGGCAGTCGCCCCCCGACGCGCCGATGAAGAGCCGCGTGCCCAGCCCAGCTACGGTCTTCCAAACAGGCTTCAATTGCACGGCAAGGGAAGCGGATGTCGGCTGTCCGACCTTAGGTCAGGTCATGAGCTTTCGGAGGTAATCAAGCTGATATTAGAGCACAGATGAAAGTGAAAGAACGCACACCCGAGCACATCGCAGAAGAGATCCGAGATTGAGATCCAAATACAGAGCACGTCGCCCCACCAACCCAAACAACGAAATTGAATGATCCACTGGGAGTCAGACAGAAAGTTTGACGAAAATTCGGCTTGATCAGCATTGCGTCGTTCCTGAAAACTCGGCAGTCAACCAATGGATGACACAAGACACAGAGCGTCAGCCTCGGAACGTCTCTCACGCCCGGCTAAAGGCGGACGCTGCCGGGCGAGGCGACCGAAGCGCCACTGACGTCACTGACGACATATCACTGACGTCACTGATGACGTATCATTGACGTCACTGATGACACATTACTGGCATCACACCACCGAAGTCACTGACGAACTACCACTGAAATCACTGATCATACATCCCTGCCGACACGTCACTGACGATTCCATTACTGAGGACCCATCACCGACGTCACTGACGACCCATCACCGACGTCACTGACGACCCATCACCGATGTCACTGGCGCGCCAACGGCGGTCCGCCGGCTCACCTCTGCGGCCGCCACCGAGCCAGCCGTCGTCCAGCAGCGACAGGCACAGCGTCAGCACCAGCAGGCTGTAGAAGCCGAAGCTGCCCGTCGCCATCATCATCAGCTGCAGGAATATCTGCGGCGGCGGCATGCTAGCTCACACCACCGTCACAGACCTCTCTCGAGAACGCCTCCCGAATGTACGGGTGACGCCGGGCCGCGCACTGCTCAGGCAGGGGTCATCGTCCGTCTGCACCGTCACCAGAGATCATCGTCCCTCAGCAGGCGTCATCGTTTATGGTCATCGCTCTGTACGCAGCACCACGGCGGCGTCCTTTCACCCCAACGGCAAGCGCGACCCGCGACCCGCTCGTCAATAGCGCCCCAGCCCCCAGCGGTCTCTTGGCCGTGTTCCACGCGACCGCTGGTAAGACGGCGGCCGCTCGGTGCCGTCCCTCCCGGCGCGTCCGAGCGGGCCGGCGTCGCCGTCCAGCGTCGCACCGAGCTCGCGCCGCCGGCACGCGAGCGCCCTCTGCCATCACACCCGGGACACGATCGCCACCACGCGGCCGCCCGCCGCACACCGAGCCCGTGAGACATCACCGGGCGGCCGTCGGAGGCGGCCGGCGCGTGAGCGGGCGGCTGACGCACCTGGACGTAGCAGGCGGCCAGCCGCAGCCGACGAACGGGCGCGAAGAAGAGGAACGGCACAGCCAGCTCGGCCACCAGCGAGAACACGACGCTGAGGCGCAGCACGGCCGGCGGCAGGTGGTGCGCGAGCCAGGCCAGCGGCGTCGGCATGCACTGAGACTCGAAGTGTACCTCCAGCGCTGCAGACACGGCCATACAGGGTGTCACAGGAGAACCAGGCCAGCGGCGTCGGCATGCACTGAGACTCGAAGTGTACCTCCAGCGCTGCAGACACGGCCATACAGGGTGTCACAGGAGAACCAGGCCAGCGGCGTCGGCATGCACTGAGACTCGAAGTGTACCTCCAGCGCTGCAGACACGGCCACACAGGGGTGTCACAGAAGAACATACACTGAGACTCGAAGGGCACCTCCAGCGCTGCAGACACGGCCACACAGGGGAGTCACAGAAGAGCATACACTGAGACTCGAAGGGCACCTCCAGCGCTGCAGACACGGCCACACAGGGCGTCACAGAAGAACATAAAAGGAGACTCGAAGTGCACCTCCAGCGCTGTAGACACGGCCACATAGGGGAGTCACAGGAGAACATACACCGAGACTCGAAGGGCACCTCCAGCGCTGCAGACACGGCCATACAGGGTGTCACAGGAGAACATAAAAGGAGACTCGAAGTGCACCTCCAGCGCTGCAGACACGGCCACACAGGGGTGTCACAGGAGAACATACACTGAGACTCAAAGGGCACCTCCAGCGCTGCAGACACGGCCATACAGGGTGTCACAGGAGAACATAAAAGGAGACTCGAAGGGCACCTCCAGCGCTGCAGACACGGCCACACAGGGGTGTCACAGAAGAACATACACTGAGACTCGAAGGGCACCTCCAGCGCTGCAGACACGGCCACACAGGGGAGTCACAGAAGAACATACACTGAGACTCGAAGTGCACCTCCAGCGCTGCAGACACGGCCACACAGGGTGTCACAGGAGAACATACACCGAGACTCGAAGGGCGCCTCCAGCGCTGCAGACACGGCCACACAGGGGAGTCACAGGAGAACATACACCGAGACTCGAAGGGCACCTCCAGCGCTGCAGACACGGCCACACAGGGGTGTCACAGGAGAACATACACCGAGACTCGAAGGGCACCTCCAGCGCTGCAGACACGGCCACACAGGGCGTCACAGAAGAACATAAAAGGAGACTCGAAGTGCACCTCCAGCGCTGTAGACACGGCCACATAGGGGAGTCACAGGAGAACATACACCGAGACTCGAAGGGCACCTCCAGCGCTGCAGACACGGCCATACAGGGTGTCACAGGAGAACATAAAAGGAGACTCGAAGGGCACCTCCAGCGCTGCAGACACGGCCACACAGGGTGTCACAGGAGAACATACACCGAGACTCGAAGTGTACTTCCAGCGCTGCAGACACGGCCACACAGGGGTGTCACAGGAGAACATACACCGAGACTCGAAGGGCACTTCCAGCGCTGCAGACACGGCCACACAGGGTGTCACAGAAGAACATACGCTGAGACTCGAAGTGTACCTCCAGCGCTGCAAACACGGCCACACAGGGGTGTCACAGGAGAACATACACTGAGACTCGAAGTGTACCTCCAGCGCTCCAGACACGGCCACACAGGGGTGTCACAGGAGAACATACACTGAGACTCGAAGTGTACCTCCAGCGCTGCAGACAGGGCCGCACAGAGGAGTCACAGGAGAACCAGGCCAGCGGCGTCGGCATGCACTGAGACTCGAAGTGTACCTCCAGCGCAGCACAAATGGCCACACAGGGGTGTCAGATACAGGTCTCCCACAGGTGCAGAAAAACGCAAGAGCGCATAGATGCCCCTCCAGCACCGCAAAACAACAAACACAATGGCAACGACATAGTGTCAAGGTGCACCCTCGGCGTAGCGCGAGCAAGCATCTCACTGGTAGAGTGACACCCATCGAGGGCGTCAAAGGCACTCAAGACAGAATGATGCATTAGCACAGCAGACAAAACAAAGTCAGTAAGATGTGAAGTTAGAATGGGGGGCACACAAGGCAGGACTGGAGGTTTTGCTGTTGCCTGTCAGGCAGAGATATTGGTGAAACTCACACCAGCACTAGAAACAGGCACTTAAGGTATCGCATCCCATCGGATGACGCAACGCCCGGGTCACATTAACAGGTCTACCTCGTGGGGCAGCACACGGCAGGGGGCGGGGGGTCCTGCTGCACGGTACGCCGGTCAGCCTGGTCCCTGTTCTTCTCAGCATTCAGTCCTCCGCCCTTGCTCTCACCAGCGAGCCCACCCGACCTTCTCACCAATGCGGCCCACTCGTTCGTCTCACTGGTGAGTCCCAACCTGATTGTCTCACCGGTGAGTCCCAGCTCGCTCGTCTCACTGGTGAGTCCCAGCCCGCTCGTCTCATAAGTGAGGCCCAGCCTGCTCGTCTCACTGGTGAGTCCCAGCCTGCTTGTCTCAGCAGTGAGTCCCAGCCTGCTTGTCTCACTGGTGAGTCCCAGCCTACTCGTCTCACTGGTGAGTCCCAGCCCGCTCATCTCACTGGTGAGTCCCAGCCTGCTCATCTCACTGGTGAGTCCCAGCCCACTCGTCTCACTGGTGAGTCCCAGCCTGCTCGTCTCACTGGTGAGTCCCAGCCTGCTTGTCTCAGCAGTGAGTCCCAGCCCGCTCGTCTCACTGGTGAGTCCCAGCCTGCTCGTCTCACTGGTGAGTCCCAGCCCGCTCGTCTCACTGGTGAGTCCCAGCCCACTTGTCTCACCAGTGAGGCCCCACCAGGCGGGGCAGTGGCTGAGCAGCTTCACCGCGCCGGTGGAGAACACCAGCCGGAAGAGCAGCCAGCGCACCAGCCAGAGGCCGACGGCGTCTGCCGGCCGGCCGGCGCAGCCCGGCAGCAGCGGCGCCAGCAGCGCCGCCAGCAGGCCCGCCTCCATCAGCAGGGTGTCCCTGCGGCAGGCGCCGCCACTCAGCGCGCGGCAGGCCACGCCACGTGCCTCCCCGTCACGTGTCTCCCGTCGCGTGCCTCCCCGTCACGTGTCTCCCCGTCACGTGTCTCACCGTCACGTGTCTCTCCGTCACGTGTCTCCCCGACACGTGTCTCCTCGTCACGTGTCTCCCCGTCACGCGTCTCTCCGTCGTGTCTCCTCGACGTGTCTCCCCGTCGCGTGCCTCCCCGTCACGTGTCTCACCGTCACGTGCCTCCCCGTCACGTGCCTCCCCGTCACCTGCCTCCCCGTCACGTGCCTCTCGGCACGGGCAGACGAACAGGCGGGGGTGGGGGAGTCTCTCCCCAACCTAATCGAGAAAGGGCGCCTAGTCAGGCAGGACAACACGACTCTCAGTCCAGAAATACCTCTGTCTCTCAGCTCTCAGACGCTTAAGGTGTCGGGCGGGGTCGCTTGCTGTTCAGGAAACGTGACAGAGACCAAAGACCACACCAGCAATGACGGCAATGTCGACGTAAACCAATGCAAACTCATTCTACAAGAGCCTGGCATAGAGCAGGACACAGGAAACGCGACAACCCGACACCAAAGGGACGCCGTGCAACCCCACGCCGGCCCACTCACCACTGGAAGAAGAGGAACACCTGCCCGACCTGGACCAGCGAGAAGTAGAGCACCAGCAGTCCGGCGTATGTCACGGAGACGCGGCACATCTCGAACAGCAGCCTGCGGAGGTCACGGCGTGAGGCGAGCGGCCGGCGCACCAGGGCGGCACCGGCGGCAGGGGGAGGCAGCTGCAGAGGGGGTAGATCATCCGGCCGCAGGTCCGTGACCCCGACTGGCGCGTGCCCGTGACGTGAAATGACGTGTGCACGTCGCCCCAACTGACGCGTCCTCGTCACCCCAACCCACGCGTTCACGTCGCCCCAAACTGACGCACACCTGCCACCCCAACTGATGTGTCCCCGCAGCCCCAGCTGACGCATACCTGTCACCCCAACTGACGCGTCCCCGCCACCCCAACCGACGCATATCTGTCACCCAAACTGATGTATACCTGTCACCCCAACTGGTGTACACCTGTCACCCCAACTGATGTGTACCTGTCACCCCAACTGACATATACCTGTTACCCCAACTGATGTATACCTGTCACCCCAACTGACATATAGCTGTTACCCCAACTGATGTATACCTGTCACCCACACTGACCCATACCTGTCACCCCAACCCACGCGTTCATGTCGCCCCAACTGACGCATACCTGTCACCCCAGCTGACGCATCCCCGTCACCCCAACTGACGCATACCTGTCAACCAGATTGACGCGTCCCGGTCACCCCAACTTACGCGCCCCCGTCACCCCAAACGTCATGACCCCGCGAAGCGCCGATGCCTCGACCCCAGTCTGCATGCCCAGCGGCCGCGATCCCAGTCCTCCACCCCGAGACCCTGTGTCTCTGACCTGACCTAGTCCGACGTGTCTCCGTGACCCCGCTACCGGGCCCCTCCAGCCACGGTGACCCCGGGCCCCTCCAGCCACGGTGACCCCGGGCCCATCCAGCCACGGTGACCCCGGGCCCCTCCAGCCACGGTGACCCCGGGCCCCTCCAGCCGCGGTGACCCCGGGCCCCTCCAGCCGCGGTGACCCCGGGCCGCGTCCCCGCCGACTCACGCGAGCAGGGCGAGCAGGGCGCCGGTCAGCGCGGCCAGCTCCATGGCATGGCCGGTGTGCAGACCGAGTGCGGCGCGCCACCGCAGCAGCGTCGGGCCCGCGCCGCCACCCGGCGACAGCTGACTGTGCGCCGGCAGCACGCCGCTGGCGCCGTACAGGCCTGCCGGACAACGGTGACCGGTGGTCGGGGGCTGGACACAGGACACTGGACACCGGACAGCCATCGGCGGCCGGCGGTCGGGGACTGGACACAGGACACTGGATACCGGACAGCCAGCACTGGCCAGCAGTCGGGGGCTGGACACAGGACACTGAATACCGGACAGTCAGCGGCGGCCGGCGGTCGGGGGCTGGACACAGGACACAGGACACAGGACACCCATCGGCGGCCGGCGGTCGGGGGCTGGATACTAGACAAAGGACACTGTCCAGAGAGTGGCAGTGGGTGGTCAGGAGTTGCACACTGGACATCAGATGCTGGAACTGGAGCACTGGATGCCAGTCAGTCATCAGTGAGATATTTATTTTATGAAGCACTTCAGAAACTGCCCAATGTGTTGCCCACCTGGGAACATACTTACAACATGTTTTTCATAGCCTGTTTTCACACTAAACCTTCAGAGCAGCTGGTTAACAACACGTCTTCAATAGCACTCAAGTTGAATACTATGCAGCATTATTACAATATTACTGACCTTAATGACACTACTTCTCATCAGTCAGTACTAAAAAAAACCCAGTCCAGGCTTGCCAAATCCCAAACTGACCTGGTATTTGCATGTACAATGACATGAAGGCAATCAGGTAGATGGCAGAGATGGCCTTGAGAAACGCATTGCGCGTCAGGTAGGTGGAGCCCATGGCACTGGGCTGGTATCTACCCTAAAAAGACAGACACCACTGTCAGCCTCAGGCACACACTCTTTTCATGTCATCCAAGCCATCATGACAGGGGCACATCACCCCACCTTGGGATCAGCACATTGGATGACACAGCTGGTAAGACAAAACAAAATCTTAGTTGAACTGGTGAACTCCATCATGCATGCGCATGTCACTTCGCAATCTCCTCTCTCCAGTGACTCCCACACAGTAGCACTCAAGGCTGCATTTCACCCTTCTGTACAAAAGAATGTCAATGGCTGCCAGGTCAAGACTGACAAACTTAACACGCGCCCGGGTGGCCGGCTAGATACCCTTCGCTCGGGCGGTGGGGGGGGGGGGGGAGGCTAAATTTGACCCCTGAGATCTCAGGAACTAAGAAAGGTAGAGACACCACATTTACAGGGTGTGTTGATCTGTATGTGAACACACTTAGGGCAAAGTTTCAGGTTCCTAGGTTATGTCCTTCGGGTCTAAAAGGTCAAACAAGGTCAAGTTCCAGGTTGGTCTCCAAATTGTCCCCAGAACCTAGATTACTGTTTCTAAGCACAAGGTCATATTCTCATTCAAGATCAATGACATTGCTTGACCTTTTTAAGGTCAAGATGAGCAAAATCATACAACATTGCTTTGAGTTTTGTGTTTGACTAAGCAACAGAGATTATGCTGGGCAGTATGTTCCTAAAAAAAAATATTGATCCAGGTCATTTTAAGTTAATAACCTACTCTGACCTCTAAGAAGTCCATGGAAGATGTATAACATAGTTCCTGCCATCAATAAACTTTCAGCTGTTGTGTTGTCCAAGAAAGCATCTCAGATATGTATGGCTTCATCTAACACTCCATTCTTTGATCAGATTGAAGGATTCCTTAGAAATTGCCTTTGCCGAAACCATGGCCTTACTTTAACCTGTCATAGGTCAGTGACCTTACAAGGTTCATCTAAATTTTTGATGTCAAACGATCCACTATTCAATTGTCCGCAACTCGGCAAAACTTGGCGCAGTGTAGCCGTGCCGTTCGGAAACCATTTTGGAAAAACCTTTGAGAGGGGTCAATTTGACCCCCCACCCAAGTGCATGTTAAACCAAAGTCACAAGAAAAATGCCAGGTGATCATCCTGCAAAGCGCAGGATGATGACTAGGGCTTCACAGAATAACCATACAGCTGTGCTGCATGAACATGGGCAAGTGATCCCATGTTGCCACTTACTTTGGAGAATAATCAAATTGTCCCCATGCTGTCACATGTATCACAAGCCTACACATTAACACCCCTCTACACCTAATTTTCTGGAAGCTTCTGCCACTTACTTTTTCACAGCTTGCACATTTATTAATTACATTTTGTACACATGGAAATGTATACATCTCAAACATATCATAGAAATAGGTTAACTCATTTTGGGCATGAACTGATCTACTTAGCGCAACTCCTGAGAAAACAAGCAACACAAAATCATGCATACATCCAAATTTAGGCCACCTGTAGTAAAAGTGGTCACCCTGAAGCACAGGCTGCAAATTTTAAGAACCTTCACCAAATTTTCAGTGCAGATCCAATGTTACTTATGTTACCACCCTGCCCTGATGCTATTTTGTTGATGTCTGCCATCTTCTGATCACTGGAGGATGTGAAGAATCCAATATCAGCCTCTATTAATCCATAGTGCACAAAAACATGCTAGTCTGCCTGAGGCTATGCTGAACATGTTCAGCATAGCTGCAATGGTTTTAGCTGATGCATGGGGAAAATAAGAGACCCCCAAGTTTAATGCACAGCCACCACCAATTTCAGCACATATACAGCAAATCTTTCAAGGAATCAAGATGCTGCCAAAGACATTTCACACCAAGATCCTAAACAATTTTTTATGCAAAAATGACTTGAAAATTCAGCACTTTTTGGCTTGACCCTAAGTTTGGCGCATGTACGCATTTTGGCAGTCTGATTCTTGGAGGAATTACCTGCACCAACCTCTGAGAACAAACAAATCCATTCTATGCAATATGCATTGCTCAGAAACATGGATGCAGACATCCCCACTTCCCATAAACCTGTATCAGTCAGCGTGCTCCCTGGCCTCCATATCTGAGCCACGCCCACACACGATTAATGGTACCTTCAGAAGCGCACGCATGCTTCAACCACTGATACAACATTATCAACGTTTCACGTGCTACCTGTCTAGTAAGACCATAGCCATGCAAACGCCAAAAATTCGGTACCTTCACGAAGATCGCTCGGTTTCTTTTCTACTGATCGCTACCACCATCCACCATTTGCAATACCGTTGCCAAGCGCCACGCGCCCGGGATGGCAGTTGCCGGCAAAAAGGGGGAGGGTATAGCCTTGAAGCGAGAGGGCATGTCATCTTTTGTCATCTGCTAAGGATGGAATTGCTGCCATTAAGTCGCATCACTGGCACTAAACTGCTGCAATATAATTTAAAGCACTGCAGTGATCTAAAGCTGCAATGAGCTGCGATAAAGTTACTGCACCCTTGCCAATGAAAAGCAAAATACTTGCATGAACATTTATTTGATTGTACAGTGGCATGAGCGGACTCAACTGACTAGCATAAAATATACCATAATCCGGGATAAGGATGAAATTGCGGTTGCTTCTGCTGTTCGGCTGACGATGATAGGGGCAAGAACATAGGCAAGAATGGCGCTGGAGACCAAAAAAGCGGCGCATGAAGGACAAAACTCTCTGCTTAGAAGTGAAAAATGGTACAGCATGAAAAAACATATTATTGAGAAAGAAGCCTTAAGATCAGTGATTCGTGCAAACATAAGGTGAAAGCTATATTTTGTTAGTGTGAATATAGTAAAAAAGGGAAAAGCTTGAGATGGTATCGATGCATGCTGTCCATATGAAGGGAATGGTCAAAACTTCCTTCGTCTGGTGTATGTGCTGACGCGTTCTCTAACAACAAGCCGGCGCATCGTGTTCGTGTGGACTGTGCGGGTGGAAGCATAGGGAGGGGGCGTCATTGAATTGCGTGAGTTTTTGCTAGACCGGTTAGGTATATTAGCTAAGGCTTTCGAGGACCCACTGTTCTGTGCCTACCTCGTTTAGGTTTTATTGAGATAAACCCCAGCAGCACACTGTTGGGTGCAGTGGCAACGGAACGTCGCTAGCTGTGGGACCGAAAAAAATCGGCTTTTAGGTAGGTGGGCCGTTTTCCACGCAATTTGAGATGGATTCCGCTTAACTTACCGCACCCATTTAACCCTTTCATGGTAATGGTGGAGACAGGGAAATATTATTTTTAACTAGTATCTGGGATGGGAATGGCTGCCCATATCGTTGCCTGTATGTAGCCAAGGGGGCAGATGGCCATAGTTATACCATTTCCCCCTCCCTCACAGTGTTGACATTAGGCTCCCCCCCCCCCTCCACACACCAATCATTGCCACTCAGGCTCAGACTTCATGTGGGCATGCATGAATTTGTGAAAAACTAATGTGTTGACAGCTTGTAGGTTTCTGATCTGTATTGCTCTTTGGTCTTATTTTGCCTAGGTGCAGGTTTCTTAAGGTATCTGTATATCTTGTCTTAGTACTAATAGGAATTCAGATGGAACCAAAAGTGGTCATAAAATACATAGTTTATGTGCAAATTGACTGCATGGCTTTATCATACCCACCCCATATAAACTGTTAGATATGGTGTATATGTCACTTAATGTTGATGTAAATATGAATATAAATTTTAGAATGAATATTTATTTAAAAACATGTAAGAAATTATGACTGCAACATGCAAAAGCAGGTTTTTGATAAATATCTTTGAATTATGCCACCTTTGAATTATAAGATTTCCATACACTGCTGGCTGTAAGCAGAGAATGTGGCATGGGAAGTTTTATAACATGTATACTAAACTGTATTAAAAACATTATTTCTTAATGATTCTACTGCAAAGAAATTAGATGTCATTCTATTAGGGTTTATACTCTGAAGTTTCTCTTTGTTGCCTGCATGTTAGATTCGAGATTGTTGATTTAGATCATGGATCTAAAACTGGCTTGAACTTTGCTAAGTCAGTCACTCTATGCCATGAAGGCTGTGATGGGTATTGCACTGCAGGCCATAAGCAGTTGTAGAACACTACTGAAGGCTCTATGACCTGTCAGGCCATGCATAATTGATCATTCTGTGCCTGAGTGTAGTTTTCTTTTGAATTTTGCATGGGGGGAGGGGGTTTAGGGCACATGGACTGCTGTGGGTTATGCAGCTAATTTTGCATGGGTGGGATTGGGTGCAGTAGTTGTCTTTGCTTCAGTGTGTCTTGCATGTACAAGCCTCAAGCTCAAATTTGCATTAGTTGTAGGTCTATATTTCTAACCATTATGAATCATTGTTGTAATAAGTAAGAGGTCACTTGTATCAGTCTCCTAATGATAAGCTGGTAGTTTGGGCTTAAAACTGCCAGGAGATTTCAGGGTTGTGATGTGTACATGGATGTATGCCAGGTATTTTCAGAATCTTAGGGATAGCTTACACATGGCAGCAGTCATGAGAAAAGGGGATGCCAGATGTTGTGTGAAAATGACAACAGTGTGGAAACACAGTCCAAACATTTAGCATATCTGTGTGAACATGGCATTTCAATATTCAGTTAACAGGCATGTCATGCTTTGTCAGTCTCCACTTTTTCAAGTTAAACTGAATTGGCAGGGGAATTGCTTGTATTGTTTATTATGTCACATGTCATGTATGAAGCCATCATGATGGCATTCATCCATCAAGAAGTAATCTAAGGAATATAATGGTCAGAACTTACAAAGCTGGCTGGTTTGAGGGCTGCCCTATGTTGGAACACAACATCAGCCACCACCATCAGCAGTTGTGTGTCACACCTCTAGTCATGGTGCTACATCACTCACCATTGTATCACCCTGCTCACCATCATGCCACACCTCTCTCCATTGTCACACACTCACCATTGTGTTACGTCACTAACTATTGTGTCACGTCGCTCACCATCGTGTCATGCTGCTCACCATCGTGTCACGTCGCTCACCATGTGTCGCCGTGTGGGTGACGCGGCCCTGCCCCGCGGCCGGCAGTGCGAGGCCCGCGGAGCCCGGCCCGACCCAGCCCGCCATGAAGGTGAAGGAGGCAGAGCGGACGGCCAACGTGGCCTGGTCGCCGGCGCCGCTGCCGCGCGTGCTGATGGCGGCCGGCACCGCCGCCCAGCAGCTGGACGCCACCTTCTCGTCGACGGCTCGGCTAGAGGTGTTCAGCCTGGCGCTGGACCAGCCGTCGCTGGACATGCCGGCGGTGGCCAGCGTCGAGACGGCGGCGCGGTGAGCGGCCGACGGCGGCGGCGCCGGCGCAGGGCGGCGCCGAGGGGTGCGGCCGGCGGCCTGAGGCGTCGCGGCTGGTGGAGGTGGTGGACACAGCAGGGGCGTGTTGGGTGTGATGCTCGGACACGAGCTGGCTGTCCGGCCGGCAGGCACGTTTTGGCTGGTACGACCGCGCCAGTGCTGTGATTTCGCCGCGCTCATTCGTCCACGCTCGGCGTGTGCCCGGTGCCGGCTGACACGCTCCATCTGACCGTCCCCCGCCCGGGCGCGGCCGCAGGTTCCATTGCGTGTCGTGGGGCGCACACGGCCTGGGCGGTCAGCGGCCGGCCGGGGTCATCGTCGGCGGCGCCGACGGTGGCCTCATCAGCCTGTACGACGCCCAGCAGCTGCTGGACGGCCAGCCGGCGCTGCTGGAGACCGTCAGCCGACACTCGGGCGCCGTGCGCGCGCTCGACTTCAACCCCTTCCAGGTGCGCTGGCCCTCTGCTGCGGGCGGGTGCTGCAGCCACGCCCAGTGGCGCCGGCTCGCGCACAGCTACACGCTTAGCTCTATCCTGAAATATGGGCTGAAAGTCAGCTGCGTTCAGGTGCGAGTGCCTATTGTGATTGGCGGGAGCAGTTGGACCGCGATTCGCGGCACACGCACCCGGCAGACGCACACCCAGGCTATGCGGATCTGACCAGCGGTCCGTGGGGCCGGCGCGACGCCGGCTGTCTGTGACGCGTCCCTGTCGCCGCTGCCGCCTGAGTGTTGAGTGTTCCCTGTTACGCCGTCCGGGACTGACCGCCGTGTCCGTGCGCGTCTCCGCAGGCGAACCTGCTGGCGTCGGGCGCCGCCGACTCGGAGCTGTTCATCTGGGACCTGAACAGCCCCAGCACGCCCATGACGCCCGGAGCCAAGGCGCAGCCGTCCGAGGACGTGTCGGCCGTCAGCTGGAACAAACAGGTGTGCCCGCACGCCGCGCCGCGCCGCACCGCACCGCACCGCACAGCACTGCTAGCCGCACCGCACCGCACCGCCCGGCACCGCGCACCGCAGCCGCACCGCACCGCACCGCACCGCGCGCGCGCACCGCCGCAGCGCGTGCCGCACCCGCGCCGCGCCGCGCCGCGCCGCGCCGCGATGAACCGCGATGAACCGCACCGCGCCGCACCGCGCCGCACCGCGATGAACCGCGCCGCACCGCGCCGCACTGCGCCGCACAACACCGCACCGCACCGCACCTAGGACCGCTGGCCTGCTCTCAGGCGCTCCGAGACCAGGCCCGGACCGCGCCGGCGGCGACGCTGGACGACTGTGTGTCAGTGAGGGCTCGGCCGGCGGGCTGGGCCACGTCACGTGGTGTGTGTGTGTGCTGAAACAGACGGACGGGCCAGAGCCCGGCGCGCTCACCAGCACAGCCCGTGCCGGACGTGGGCCCAGCACCTGTCATCTCGAAGTTGTGTCGGCTGTCGGTGGCGTGGCGCGTCGCCGGCGCCGGCGGGGGGCCTGGAGCCGGCGCCAGCGTCTGGGCCCACCGGACGGCGCACGCCGGCGTGTCGGGTCGGGTCGGCGCACCGGCCAGCCGGGGCCGGGCCGGGGCCGGACTGCGGCGACGGGGTGGGCGAGCGCGGACGGCGGCGCCGAAGGCTTCAGGCGGTGCAGGGGTCCGGGGTGGCGCGAGGAACAGCACCCGGGACCAGGCTCGTGACGTTGCGTGACGCGATGTGATAAATTATGTCGGAGGCGCGACCGCAGCCGGCGTGCGTGCGCACAGCTGTGTCGTGTACAGCTGTACTCCGCGGCATTATCCGCCACATCACAACCGCCACGCTAGCTACGGGACGCTCGGAGTAGGCCATCTCCACATAAGCGAAAAGGACGCAAAGTCACGCCCGGTTGTGGCGTCGTGATCGCCCCGCTTAAAGCGTCAGTGCATAAACAGCGCACCAACCGGCGGCGGGCAAGAAGGCTGAGGCTCGCCGGCGGCTCCGGCCGTAGCGCGCCGCAGCCGCCCGCCCGGCGCGCAGCTCGCCGGAGCCGTGCGCCGGGTGATGTGTGCGCCGCGGCCGGCTCCGATCGGCCGGCGTGCACGGCCGCGCCGTGCACGGCACGCGCGCCGGCGTGCACGGCACGCGCCGTGCACGCTTCCCGACCGGCGGCCGGCGGACCTGAGCCGTTGTTTCTCCGCGCGTCGCGCCGGCGCTCGTCCGCTGCGGTGATGGTCTCGGTTTTTCCCCGTTTCTTTCGCGCGGTTCTTGTATTGGCGTGTGTCTGCTGATGACGTCGTGCGATAGTGTCCCACGGTCATGCAAGTCGCCTGATCAGTCTTCTGGTGCGGTACATGATGACATTCGACATGCACGAGAACGTTTATCTGTGACGTAACGGGCCCGTTATGCCTTACGTGCGCCCGATTTGTTGTGTTCCGCTGCGTTCAGTGTTTCTGTGGAGTGACGTTCGTCGGCGCGTTGTGACGTCACCGTGACGTGTGTGCGTGACGTCACCAGGTTCAGCACATCATGGCGTCGACGTTCACGTCTCGCTGCGTGGTGTGGGACCTGCGCAAGAACGAGCCCATTATCAAAGTCAGCGACGGCCAGGCGGGGGTGAGTGGCGCGGACGGGGGCAGGCGCCGCCGCGCGCGGCTCTGACCTGACCGGCTGGGCCGGCTCTGGCAGGCTGGGCCGGCTCTGGCAGGCTGGAGCCGGTTCTGGCCGGCTGGAGCCGGTTCTGGCCGGCTGGAGCTGGTTCTGGCCGGTGACGGCTGGCTGGGGCGCCGGGTCGGGTCGTGTCGCTGATGGCCGGCGTCAGGGCCGCGGCTCAGCTGACTGGCCGGTTGGTGCCGTCCGTCAGACATACGGCCCGGTCCGGTCCGGGCAGCAGCCGGGCTGCGGCCGGACCGCCAGCTGCGTCACCACTGGCGGAGCGCTGAGGCTTCCGTCGGGGGCTGGCCGCGTTTGACTGACGGCAGTCGGCAGATGAAGTGTAAGGCTCTGACCTTGTGACCGACGGCAGATGAGGTGTAAGGTCAGCTGTAAAGTCAAATTACACAAGGTCAGCAGATGAGGTGTAAGGCTCTGACCGGGTGACTGACAGCAGGCAGCAGATGAAGTGTAAGGCTCTCACTTTGTGACTGACGGCAGATGAGGTGTAAGGTCAGCTGTAAAGTCAGATTACACAAGGTCGGCAGATGAAGTGTAAGGTTCTGACCGTGCGCCGGTGGCCGGCAGATGAAGTGTAAGGTTCTGGCGTGGCACCCGGAGGTGGCCACGCAGCTGGTGCTGGCCAGCGAGGACGACCACACGCCCACCATCCAACTGTGGGATCTGCGATTCGCCACCTCGCCGCTCAAAACGCTCCAGCGACATCAAAAGTGAGCCGGGCGGGGCTGAGCTGTGCTGGGCCGGACTGGGCTGGGCTTGGCTGTGTTGTGCCGGCCTGGTCTGGTCTGGTCTGGTCTGGTCTGGTGGGAGGGCAGGATATTGCCGGGCGGTGCGCTGTGTCAGTGACTGCTGGGTGAGCGATGTCGCCGCTGGCCGGTCCGGTGACCGGACCGTGACGCCGCGGGCACGGCCGGGGCGGGCCGTAACGCCCGTGACCTGGCCGCCAGGGGTATCCTGTCCCTGGCCTGGTGCGAGCGCGACTCTCACCTGCTGCTCAGCGCCGGAAAGGACGACAAGATCCTCTGCTGGGACCCGCACGCCGACACTGCCGGTGGCGAGGTGGTGAGTGTGCCCACGGGGTCTCCTCCCCCCCCCCCCCCCGCCGTCGGCCACCCCGGCTCGCCCAGAGGATGACAGTGACGTACAGTGGTGCGGTACCACCGAGCTGGGGTAGCACTGCGCCGCCGCATGTCAGTGTTCCGCTGGAAGTGATTCATCGGGACGTAGCGCGATCTCCAAGGAGAATAACGCGTTGTTGATGTGCGCATGGCGCGCTAACCTGCCGACCCTCTGCTGGACACAGCACGCCTCTCCAGTGATCTTGGCCGCGGTGGCGCGCGACCCGGCCGGCACCAGTGTGGTGACGGCTGATGCTGGCCTGTCTGGACGGCACCAGTGTGGTGACGGCTGGTGCTGGCCTGTCTGGACGGCACCAGTGTGGTGACGGCTGGTGCCGGGCTGTCTGGACGGCACCAGTGTGGTGACGCCTAGTGCTGGCCTGTCTGGACGGCACCAGTGTGGTGACGGCTGGTGCTGGCCTGTCTGGACGGCACCAGTGTGGTGACGGCTGGTGCCGGGCTGTCTGGACGGCACCAGTGTGGTGACGGCTGGTGCCGGGCTGTCTGGACGGCACCAGTGTGGTGACGGCTGGTGCTGGCCTGTCTGGACGGCACCAGTGTGGTGACGGCTGGTGCTGGCCTGTCTGGACGGCACCAGTGTGGTGACGGCTGGTGCTGGCCTGTCTGGACGGCACCAGTGTGGTGACGGCTGGTGCCGGGCTGTCTGGACGGCACCAGTGTGGTGACGGCTGGTGCTGGTGTGGTGACCGTCAGGTGGCCGAGCTGTCGGCGTCGCCGCAGTGGAACTTCTCGGTGCGGTGGTGTCCGCGGAACCCTGCCCTCATCGCCGCCTCCAGCTTCGACGGCCGCGTCTCCGTCTACAACGTCATGGGCAAGGTGGAGGAGCCGCCCGTCTCTCCGGCCTCTACGGTAGGCGGGCGGCGGGCGGCCGAGGATGCAGTGCTTCCCCTCCCCCCCCCCTCCCCGGCGTCGTCCGCGCCGTACCTGGCGCGCCGAGCGATGCGGCCGGCGGCCGGGCGTGCTGTTCGCAGATGTTGTTGTGCGCCGCCTTTGTGCTCCACCCAGCACCTTTACAGCGCGCACATCGGGGCATACCACCGGCGGGTATGCTGTCTTCGTGCCGTGCATGTGGCCGCCGTATGAGGCATGCACCTACAAAGTGTACTGAAAGTATACATAGCGTACAAAGGCTCACACGGCTCTGAAACAAGTGATTTGCTTCGTGTGCTGTATGCCTGTCATGTCCGCCACGTTGTGGCGGCTTGTTCCACAGGTGTGGCTTCTGCCTGGAGACGCCTGTGAAGCCAGGGTAGGCCATCTGTCGGAGCTAGAGCTGTCTCAGACATGTGTTTGCCTGGCACATGTCTGTCAGACACCTGTGTCTGCCTGACGGTGTCCGTGGCACCGGCAGCTGGTGGACTCGTTCCCGGACATGGCGGGCGTGGCGGCGGCGCTACCGGCCGTGCAGCGGCGCACGTCCGTGCCGCTCACGCGGCCGCCCGGCTGGATGCGCCGGCCCTGTGGCGCCACCTTTGGAGTGAGTGGCTAACCTCAGCTGATGGCGTCGCCGCCAGAGGCCCAGCTGTCGACGGCTCGGCGCACGCAGACAGCTGTTCTCGAACGCGCAGATGGCGTTTTGAGGCGTGTTGCGGCGACTGTGTGAGCGTTAATTGGCCGCCCACTGCGCCCCGACGTTGTGTTTAGTGCGATCGGGATTTTCCGAATTTCAAATGCGACGGTGCTGCACCTGATGCTGACCGCGACGCTGTCGGTGGCGTGATGTGTTGAGATGCCAGTGACAACGTAAGTGGGCACGTGCTCAGCCCGTGCGGCGCCTCGACTCCAGCGCCAGCGGCGCGCTGTGTCCGGACCCCCACCCCGCTACGTGTTCGTGAGACGGGCGTCTGTCCGGCTGTGCCCTCACCGGCCGCGCGCCCCCGTCTGCTCCAGTTCGCGGCGGCCGGCTGGTGTCGTTCCACCACGAGAAGCCGACCGACGGCGGCCGACCCCAGCGGCTGGTGGAGGTCCGTCAGGTGGTCACCGACCCTGAGCTGGTGCAGCGCTCCGAGCAGTTCCAGCAGGTCAGTCGGCGGCCGGCCCGCCGACCTCGGAGGTCCGCTGTTGGCTAATGTCATGTAGTTCGACGAACTGAAGCGTAAGCAAGCGCAGAGGGAGGTGTGATCGAGACGAACATGTGTGGAACGCATGTTCTGTCGGCGGTGACCGTGAGGGGGAATTCCGAGACGGTAGTTAAGCGATGTCTCAGAATCTACTTCACGCGGCAGTCTGCGCATCGTTCCAGCACGCGCGGACCCGTATAGAGATAGCGGCTAGGATTGTCTGACGCTGCACGGCGGCACGTCTGGACTCGCTCGCACACGATTTTCTGTCGCGAGAGTCGGCGGCGGCGGCGGCGGCGCCGGTGGGCACGCGTCCGCCGCGGGCACGCGTCCGCCGCGGGCATGCGTCCGCCGCGGGCACGTGTCCGCCGCCGGCCGCCGGACCGCCGCCGGCGCAGGGGGACCGCGTCTGACGTCGCCCGCCGCCCCGGCCGCCAGGTGCTGCTTGTCGGACGGCCTGGCCCGCGTACTGCGCCGAGCGGGCCGAGTCGGCGGCCGAGCCGGACCGGCCCAGTCTGGCGCTTCCTTGCGGCCCGCTTCAGCGCCGACCCGCGCGCCGAGCTGCTCGGTCTGCTCGGGCGTACCAGAGTCAAGCAGGCGGACGGCGGCGGCAGCGGCGGGCGACTCCGACCAGGGATTGCAGGTGGGCGGCGGCGGCGGCGGCTCTGCCCGCTGACTCTTCGCCCCCTCCCCCCCCCCCACCCTTCTCCTGCCGCACAACAGCCGCGCCTCAGCAGTGCCGCCACGTGCCACACGTGCCGCACGTGCTGAGTGCAGCCGGGGAGCTGCTCAGGAGGAGGCGGGCACTGGCGCGGGCCGGCTGTGCCCTCTACTTGGGGCCGCCGTTGGGCGGGTCCGAGACGGGTGTGCGGTTTGGTCGTGTTCCGTAGCACGTGTCTGTTACTCGCTTTCGCGTCTCGCCCTCGCGTCTCGCCCTCGTGTCTCGCCCTCGCGTCTCGCCCTCGCGTCTCGCCCTCGTGTCTCGCCCTCGTGTGTCGCCCTCGTGTCTCGCCCTCGTGTCTCGCACGCCCTCGTGTCTCGCCCTCGCGTCTCGCCCTCGTGTCTCGCCCTTGTGTCTCGCCCTCGCGTCTCGCCCTCGTGTCTCGCCCTCGCGTCTCGCCCTCGTGTGTCGCCCTCGTGTCTCGCCCTCGCGCCCTCGTGTCTCGCCCTCGCGTCTCGCCCTCGTGTCTCGCCCTCGTGTCTCGCCTCGCGCTCGCCCCTCGTGCTCGCCCTGCGTCTCGCCCTCGTGTCTCGGCGTCCTCGTGGTCTCCCTCGTGTCTTGCTCTGGTGTAGGTCGCGTGCATTGCTCGGGACCACAACCTCGACTGCCTTAATGCCTTGCAAACGTACACCAAATGAAAATCCAGTGATTCATTTCCTTCCAACTATCGTTATTCAGGACATGCACGCGGAGGGAGGCGCCACAGAACGGCGCCGAGATGAGTTCGACTTCACGCGCGCTCACAGGGCGGCGCTAGTGAGTCGCGACGGCCGAACCTGAGGAGCTCTTCGACATCCGGCAGTGTCCTCGGCTTTGCTCTGATCCGGGCTGTGGAGCAAAACCAATGAACGTGGCGCGTTGGAAACGGTCTGAAATGCAATCGGCTCCACACTCTGGATGCCCGCATAAGTGAACTACGTTTTCCGGTTGTTCTGCAGACAATCCGTAGGTTGGGAATTAGCTGGTCGGTCGTCACTCCGTAAATTAAATTTGAATAAAAAAAGCGCACGCCGCACCTTAAATTTGATGTCATTTTAATAGATAATACGGTAGTAATAGCCTTATTTCTCAAAAGAAAAAAACAGGATGCATTTTTGATATTTCGATGAAGCCATGTCGCCGAAATCTCAACACATCTATATCTCCATTCCCCTGGTTTTCTTCTAGGAATAAGATTATTAGTACTGTCTTATCTGTCTGAATAAGCTCCTCGCAAATGCACCGAAAAATTTACGTAACTTTGATGTCAGTTTGGGCGAGGCTTGGCTAGTCAGAAGCCCGCGTTATCGTTT